TTCCTTTTCATCGGTCGATTAAACTTTTTCTTTTTTTAACATCATTTATATATAATCTCTTCAATACAATAGATAGACGAATATCAACCAACTACTTGGTTACTTCTCTAAATTTTTCTTCCATTATCAAATGTGATAAGATATCAGTGTAATATAAATTTAATTTATTTTTGACAAAGCAAATAATATCAATCGTGCGTAAGTCGAATAATACATATGTATATTACGCATGATTAATTTACTATTAATAAATAATTTACGTGATATATTTTCTAATTTTTATAAGAAAAAGCAATGGTAGTATTTGTCATTAATATTCATAGATCATATTTGATAAATTTGATAAAATTTTTTCAAAAAGTTATTTCATCATTCGAATTAAATGACAAAGAAAATTTCTATAAATAAAATGTATTCTTACGGATAATACAAAACACCAAAAGATTTTTTAACTGACATCGGAGAATAATCAAACAATTCGATATATAAAAGTATAAAAAATTTGAGAAAGAAATATCGAATAAGATTTGTACGTATATGTTACGTATTTTTGAATAGAAATTTATAATTATACAAGGGACGTAATTCAATACTGGTATGGTATATTAATGAAAGTTCATTGGAAGAAACAGCAGTGATTGACGATCATTCGCCAGTTTATCTTCCCGTAGTCTTTCTCCCACGATTTCTTTCTTAATCGATCATAAGATGGAGGCCTTGGCCATGATCTCGACTTTCATAACAGTGATATTCAGCATTTATTATTACGTCTTGAAGGATCTGAATTACTTCAAAACAATTGGTTTATCGTATTTGAAACAATGACTAATAATAGGCAACATGGGACCAGTAATTTTCCGTCAAAAAACGATGATTGATATAAACATCGACGTTTACAATCTATATCCGGAAGTAAAATACATTGGTTTCTTTGATATGACTAAACCGATTTTGATGATTCGCAATCCTGAATTAATCAAAAAGTAAAAGTGATAAGGAATAGTGGTAAAAGAAAAGTGGTAAAGAAAAGTAAGCGGTAAAGAATTTTGATAATTTTACGGATGACTGAGATTTCGTCGACGAGGTACATGATCATTTCTTCGGAAAAAATTTATTTCCCTTAAGAGACGAATTATGGAAAGAAACTAGAACAATGTTGAGTCCAGCGTTTACTTTAAGCAAACTAAAAGGTATGTTCAAATTAATGAACGAATGCGGGGCAGATTTTACAGATTTTCTATCAAAAATGCCAAAGGATAAAAAAACTATAGAAATGAAGGACGTCTTCACGAGATATACCAATGACGTAATAGCTACATGTGCATTTGGCATCAGTATGAATTCGATGAAAAATCCGCAAAATGAATTCTATGTTCTCGGAAGAGACGCAACAAACTTTGATGGTATTAAATCTCTTAAATTCTTCCTTATTCGATCTTTTCCAAATATTGTAAAATTATTCAACATCAAGTTCATACCCGATAAGATCGGTCATTTTTTCGAGAATGTTGTCCAGGAGGTAATCAATACTAGAGATCAAAACAATATTGTACGAGCGGACATGATACAACTGATGATGGAAGCTAGAAACAAAAAAGCTGAAATCGGACAAGAATTAAGTATGATGGACATAGTAGCTCAGGCGTTTATCTTTTTCTTTGGTGGCTTCGACACTGTCTCCACGGCCATGTGCTTTACTTGTCACGAAATTGGTGTCAATCCTGACATACAAAAGAAACTTCAGCGAGAGATCGACGAGGTCATCGAAAAGATCAATGGAAATCCAACTTATGACGTTATCAACAGCATGCAATATCTAGTCGCCGTGATAAGCGAGACCCTACGGAGATATCCGATTGCCATCTTTCTTGACAGAGTGTGCAACGAAAATTTCGAACTGCCACCTAGTTTACCTGGAAACAAACCCTTTCTCTTAAAAAAAGGCATGAATGTTTGGTTCCCAGTTTGTGCATTCCATTTAGATTCAAAATATTTCGAGGATCCGTATAAATTCGATCCCGAAAGATTCATGAAACATGGAAAAGAGATCAACAATTCCGGCATCTACTTACCTTTCGGTTTGGGACCTAGAATGTGCATTGGTAATAGATTCGCTTTACTGGAGATGAAAGTTTTGATATTTAATTTATTGGCAAGGTGTAATCTTAAGCCTTCTGCTAAAACCCAAATTCCTATTCGATTATCCAAGAGAGGAATTAATTTAGCCGCTGAAAAAGGTTTTTGGATGGATTTAGAGGAAAGAAAGGATGTTCATCCTGCTGTTAAAAATTTCGTCCCAAATAATATTACTGAAGAAGATATTAAAAGTGATACATCGATTAATGGTGCTACTTATGGTCATGCGATTAAAGCTTAAGATATGCAAATAATGATAATAATAGTATTAAGATTAACTCGTTTAAAGTATACATGTAAATGTTTATATATATTTGTCAATGAATTGTTAGGGATACTAAATTTGGATTAAATGTTTGTGCATCGTATTCCGCAGTATCAGGGATTAACGTCATTTAAATTATATGCAGCTATGCACATATCGTCTTGTTATTGGATTACATATCGTTCCAGAAAATAATATTTCTGTTACCTTACTATGATATAAATAACATATCATTACAATTGATATTATTATTATTAGTATTATTATTACACAAATAAAAAAGAAAACGTTGCATTATTATTGAAAAAAAAGAACATTATTTACGAAAATATATTTATCTCAAAGGTATTGCAGATATTTAGATGTATATTCTTTTTGTTCAACTTTCTCGATTACATGTAAATAATCTTTTCAATTTGATAGATACATGCGCGTTCATCAACGAATCGGTTAATTTAACATCGTAAACTGTCTATAACATTATCAAATGCGATAAGATATAAAAACAAAACATATACGATTTATCTTCCACTATAAGAAATATACGAGTTGTATGTGAGGTTTATTATTTTTATGGACGATTAATAAATGATTAAAATCATATATTTCGAAAAATTCAATAAAGGATTATTATAATGATCATAAATATTTAAAAATTGTATTTAATAATTTTTTATAAAAAACACTTTGTTTCCTGATTTCTTTCCAATCTTTTTATCTTTTTTTACGTCACGAAAGATGAAATAATAGGAAACTCTAAAAAGAAAACATTTCATTACATAATACTCATAATTATTTTACGAAAATAATATAAAAATATAAAAAATTTAAGAAAGAAAGGTCGAATAAAACTAATATATAGAACTAGTAGATTCTCAGATGCAAAAGTAAAAGATTACGTCAGTGACTTATCGTGCTGACACATGCTATATTAACGAATAGTGAGTGGAAGCGTCAGTAGCCTACGGACTATCGACAGTACAACATCGCGAATTTTTTCTCTCATAATCTGTTTTTTAGCCAACTATACGATGGAGGCCTGGACAATGATCTTGGCCTTCATTGCAGTGCTAGTCAGCATTTATTACTACATCTTCAAGGACTTGAACTACTTCAAAAAAATTGGTTTACTATATTTGGAACCATGGCCGTTATTTGGAAACATGGGACAAGCAATTTTCCGTCAGAAAACGATGATTGATTTAACTATAGATGCTTACAATTTGCATCCAAAAGCAAAATACGTTGGTTTTTTCGATATGAGTAATCCGGTTTTACTTATTCGTGATCCTGAATTAATCAAAATGATCGCAGTGAAGAGTTTCGATAATTTCATGGATCACAGAGGTTTCGTCGACGAGGTACAGGATCCTCTCTTCGGAAAGAATTTATTTTCCTTAAAAGGCGACCGATGGAGAGAAACTAGGACAATGTTGAGTCCGGCGTTCACTTTAAGCAAACTAAAAGGTATGTTCAAATTAATGAACGAATGCGGTGTAGATTTTACAGATTTTCTATCAAAAATGCCAAAGGATAAAAAAACTATAGATATGAAGGAGGTCTTCACGAGATATACCAATGACGTAATAGCCACATGTGCATTTGGCATCAGTTTGAATTCGATGAAAAATCCCCAGAACGAATTCTATGTTCTCGGAAGAGACGCAACAAACTTTGACGGTATTAAATCTCTAAAATTCTTCCTTATTCGATCTTTTCCAAATATTGTAAAATTATTCAACATCAAGCTCATATCCGGTAAGATCGGTCATTTCTTCGAGAACGTTGTCCAGGAGGTAATCAACACTAGAGATCAAAACAATATTGTACGAGCGGACATGATACAACTGATGATGGAAGCTAGAAACAAAAAAGCTGAAATCGGACAAGAATTAACTATGATAGAAATAGTAGCTCAGGCGTTCATCTTTTTCCTTGGTGGCTTCGACACCGTTTCCACGGCTATGTGTTTTACTTGTCACGAAATTGGTGTCAATCCTGACATACAAAAGAGACTTCAGCGCGAGATCGACGAGGTCATTGAAAAGACTAATGGAAACCCAACTTATGACGTTGTCAACAGCATGCAATATCTAGACGCTGTGATAAGCGAGTCCCTACGAAGATATCCGATCGCCATTATTCTTGACAGAGTTTGCAACGACAATTTCGAACTGCCACCAAGTTTACCTGGAAACAAACCCTTTGTCTTAAAAAAAGGCATGAATGTTTGGATACCAGTTTGTGCATTCCATCTTGACTCTACATATTTCGAGGATCCGTACAAATTCGATCCCGAAAGATTCATGAAACGGGGAAAAGAGATCAACAATTCCGGCATCTACTTACCTTTCGGTTTGGGACCTAGAATGTGCATTGGTAATAGATTCGCTTTACTGGAGATGAAAGTTTTGATATTTAATATATTGGCAAGGTGTAATCTTAAGCCTTCTGTCAAAACTCAAAATCCAATTCGTTTTTCCAAGAGAGGAATCAATTTGACCGCCGAAAAAGGTTTTTGGATGGATTTAGAGGAAAGAAAGGATGTTCATCCTGCTGTTAAAAATTTCGTCCCAAATAATATTACTGAAGAAGATATTAAAAGTGATACATCGATTAATGGTGCTACTTATGGTCATGCGATTAAAGCTTAAGATATGCAAATAATGATAATAATAGTATTAAGATTAACTCGTTTAAAGTATACATGTAAATGTTTATATATATTTGTCAATGAATTGTTAGGGATACTAAATTTGGATTAAATGTTTGTGCATCGTATTCCGCAGTATCAGGGATTAACGTCATTTAAATTATATGCAGCTATGCACATATCGTCTTGTTATTGGATTACATATCGTTCCAGAAAATAATATTTCTGTTACCTTACTATGATATAAATAACATATCATTACAATTGATATTATTATTATTAGTATTATTATTACACAAATAAAAAAGAAAACGTTGCATTATTATTGAAAAAAAAGAACATTATTTACGAAAATATATTTATCTCAAAGGTATTGCAGATATTTAGATGTATATTCTTTTTGTTCAACTTTCTCGATTACATGTAAATAATCTTTTCAATTTGATAGATACATGCGCGTTCATCAACGAATCGGTTAATTTAACATCGTAAACTGTCTATAACATTATCAAATGCGATAAGATATAAAAACAAAACATATACGATTTATCTTCCACTATAAGAAATATACGAGTTGTATGTGAGGTTTATTATTTTTATGGACGATTAATAAATGATTAAAATCATATATTTCGAAAAATTCAATAAAGGATTATTATAATGATCATAAATATTTAAAAATTGTATTTAATAATTTTTTATAAAAAACACTTTGTTTCCTGATTTCTTTCCAATCTTTTTATCTTTTTTTACGTCACGAAAGATGAAATAATAGGAAACTCTAAAAAGAAAACATTTCATTACATAATACTCATAATTATTTTACGAAAATAATATAAAAATATAAAAAATTTAAGAAAGAAAGGTCGAATAAAACTAATATATAGAACTAGTAGATTCTCAGATGCAAAAGTAAAAGATTACGTCAGTGACTTATCGTGCTGACACATGCTATATTAACGAATAGTGAGTGGAAGCGTCAGTAGCCTACGGACTATCGACAGTACAACATCGCGAATTTTTTCTCTCATAATCTGTTTTTTAGCCAACTATACGATGGAGGCCTGGACAATGATCTTGGCCTTCATTGCAGTGCTAGTCAGCATTTATTACTACATCTTCAAGGACTTGAACTACTTCAAAAAAATTGGTTTACTATATTTGGAACCATGGCCGTTATTTGGAAACATGGGACAAGCAATTTTCCGTCAGAAAACGATGATTGATTTAACTATAGATGCTTACAATTTGCATCCAAAAGCAAAATACGTTGGTTTTTTCGATATGAGTAATCCGGTTTTACTTATTCGTGATCCTGAATTAATCAAAATGATCGCAGTGAAGAGTTTCGATAATTTCATGGATCACAGAGGTTTCGTCGACGAGGTACAGGATCCTCTCTTCGGAAAGAATTTATTTTCCTTAAAAGGCGACCGATGGAGAGAAACTAGGACAATGTTGAGTCCGGCGTTCACTTTAAGCAAACTAAAAGGTATGTTCAAATTAATGAACGAATGCGGTGTAGATTTTACAGATTTTCTATCAAAAATGCCAAAGGATAAAAAAACTATAGATATGAAGGAGGTCTTCACGAGATATACCAATGACGTAATAGCCACATGTGCATTTGGCATCAGTTTGAATTCGATGAAAAATCCCCAGAACGAATTCTATGTTCTCGGAAGAGACGCAACAAACTTTGACGGTATTAAATCTCTAAAATTCTTCCTTATTCGATCTTTTCCAAATATTGTAAAATTATTCAACATCAAGCTCATATCCGGTAAGATCGGTCATTTCTTCGAGAACGTTGTCCAGGAGGTAATCAACACTAGAGATCAAAACAATATTGTACGAGCGGACATGATACAACTGATGATGGAAGCTAGAAACAAAAAAGCTGAAATCGGACAAGAATTAACTATGATAGAAATAGTAGCTCAGGCGTTCATCTTTTTCCTTGGTGGCTTCGACACCGTTTCCACGGCTATGTGTTTTACTTGTCACGAAATTGGTGTCAATCCTGACATACAAAAGAGACTTCAGCGCGAGATCGACGAGGTCATTGAAAAGACTAATGGAAACCCAACTTATGACGTTGTCAACAGCATGCAATATCTAGACGCTGTGATAAGCGAGTCCCTACGAAGATATCCGATCGCCATTATTCTTGACAGAGTTTGCAACGACAATTTCGAACTGCCACCAAGTTTACCTGGAAACAAACCCTTTGTCTTAAAAAAAGGCATGAATGTTTGGATACCAGTTTGTGCATTCCATCTTGACTCTACATATTTCGAGGATCCGTACAAATTCGATCCCGAAAGATTCATGAAACGGGGAAAAGAGATCAACAATTCCGGCATCTACTTACCTTTCGGTTTGGGACCTAGAATGTGCATTGGTAATAGATTCGCTTTACTGGAGATGAAAGTTTTGATATTTAATATATTGGCAAGGTGTAATCTTAAGCCTTCTGTCAAAACTCAAAATCCAATTCGTTTTTCCAAGAGAGGAATCAATTTGACCGCCGAAAAAGGTTTTTGGATGGATTTAGAGGAAAGAAAGGATGTTCATCCTGCTGTTAAAAATTTCGTCACAAATAATATTTCTGATGAAGATATTAAAAGTGATACATCGATTAATGGTGCTACTAATGGTCATGCGATTAAAGCTTAAGATATGCAAATAATAATAATAATAGTATTAAGATTAACTCGTTTAAAGTATACATGTAAATGTTTATATATATTTGTCAACGAATTGTTAGGGATACTATATTTGGATTAAATGTTTGTGCATCGTATTCCGCAGTATCAGGGATTAACGTCATTTAAATTATATGCAGCTATGCACATATCGTCTTGTTATTGGATTACAGAAAATAGTGATTCTGTTATCTTACTACAATATAAATAACATATTATTATAATTGATATTATTATTATTACTATTATTATTATAAAAATAAAAAAGAAAACGTTGCATTAGTATCGATGAGAACGAACATTATTTACGAAAATATATTTATCATCAAAATATTGGAGATGTTTAGATGTATATTCTTTTTGTTCAACTTTCTAGATTACATGTAAATAATATTTTCAATTTGATAGATACATGCGCGTTCATCAACGAATCGGTTAATTTAAGATCGTAAACTGTTTATAACATTATCAAATGCGATAAAATGTAAAAACAAAGCATATACGATTTATCTTCCACTAAAAGAAATATACGAGTTGTATGTAAGGCGCATTACTTTTATGGAAATAAAATAAAACTAATATGGTTAAAATCATATATTTCAAAAAATTTAATAAAGGATTATTATAACGATTACTCGATCATAAATATTTAAATATTGTATTTAATAATTTTTTATAAAAAGTACTTCGTTTATTGATTTACTGACTTCCTTACAATCATTCAATCTTTCTTTACCTCACGAAAGATGAAATAATTGGAAAATCTAAAAGGAAAGATATCTTTACATAATACTCATAATTATTTCATGAAAATAATATAAAATAAATATAAGGTAATAAAAAAATGTAAGAAAAAAATGTCGTATAAAATTAACATATAGAATTAGTTATATAGTTATATAATATAGTTATTCTCAAATATAAAAAAAAAAGATTACGTCAATGGTTTACCTTGCGGACACATGCTATATTAACGAATAGAAAGTGGAAGCGTCAGTAGTCTAAGAACTTTCGACAGTGCAACATCTCGAATTTTTTTCCTCATAATTTGTTTTTAGTCAACTATACGATGGATGTCTGGGCAATGATCTTGGCCTTCATAGCAGTGCTACTCAGCATTTATTACTATATCTTCAAGGATTTGAACTACTTCAAAAAAATTGGTTTACCATATATGGAACCATGGCCGTTATTTGGAAATATGGGACCAGCAATTTTCCGTCAGAAAACGATGATTGATTTAACTATAAATGCTTACAATCTGCATCCAAAAGCCAAATACGTTGGTTTCTTCGATATGAATAAACCGGTTTTACTTATTCGTGATCCTGAGTTAATCAAAATAATTGCAGTGAAGAGTTTCGATAATTTCATGGATCACAGAGGTTTCGTTGACGAGGTACATGATCCTTTCTTCGGAAAGAATTTATTTTCCCTAAGAGGCGACCGATGGAGAGAAACTAGAACAATGTTGAGTCCAGCGTTTACTTTAAGCAAACTAAAAGGAATGTTCAAATTAATGAACGAATGCGGTGTAGATTTTACAGATTGTCTATTAAAAATGACAAAGGATAAAAAAACTATCGAAATGAAGGACGTCTTCACGAGATATACCAATGACGTAATAGCCACATGTGCATTTGGCATCAGTATGAATTCCATGAAAAATCCGCAAAACGAATTCTATATTCTCGGAAGAGACGCAACAAACTTTAAGGGTATTAAATCTCTAAAATTCTTTCTTATTCGATCTTTTCCAAATATTGTAAAATTATTCAACATCAAGTTCATATCCGGTAAGATCGATCATTGTTTCGAAAAAGTTGTCCAGGCGGTAATCAACGCTAGAGAACAAAATAATATTGTACGTGCGGATATGATACAACTGATGATGGAAGCTAGAAACAAAAAAGCTGAAATCGGAGAAGAATTAACTATGATGGACATAGTAGCTCAGGCGTTTATCTTTTACTTTGGTGGCTTCGACACTGTCTCCACTGCAATGTGCTTTACTTGTCATGAAATTGGTGTCAATCCTGACATACAAAAGAGACTTCAGCGCGAAATCGACGAGGTCATCGAAAAGACCAATGGAAACCCAACTTATGACATTATCAACAGCATGCAATATTTAGACGCCGTGATAAGCGAGTCCCTACGGAGATATCCGATTGCCATCTTTCTTGACAGAGTGTGCAACGAGGATTTCGAACTGCCGCCAAGTTTACCTGGAAGTAAACCTTTACTCTTAAAAAAAGGCATGATTGTTTGGTTCCCAGTTTCTGCATTCCATCTGGACTCGAAATATTTCGAGGATCCGTACAAATTCGATCCCGAAAGATTCATGAAATATGGAAAAGAGATCAACAATTCCGTCATCTACTTACCTTTCGGTTTGGGACCTAGAATGTGCATTGGGAGTAGATTCGTCTTATTGGAGATGAAAGTTTTGATATTTAATTTATTGGCAAGATGTAATCTCAAGCCTTCTGTTAAAACCCAGAATCCTATTCAGTTATCCAAGAGAGAAGTCAATTTGGCCCCTGAAAAAGGTTTTTGGATGGATTTAGAGGAAAGAAAGGAAGTTCATCCGGCTGTTAAAAATTTCGTCGCTAATAGCATTACTAATGAAGGTAGTAAAAGTGATGCATCGACTAATGATGTTACTAATGACCATGCGATTAAAGCTTAAGATATGAAAATCATGATAATAATACTATTAAGATTAACTTAATAATGTATACATATAAATGTTTATATATACTTGTCAACGAAATGTTAGGGATACTAAATTTGTATTAAATGTTTGTGCATCGTATTCCGCAGTATCAGGGATTAACGTCATTTATATTATATGCAGTTACGCACATATCATCTTGTTATTGGATTTCAGAGAATAATGTTTCTCTTATCTTACAACGATATAAATAACTTATCTTTTCAATTGATATTATTATTACTATCATTATTATGAAAATAAACAAGAAAATGTTGCATTATTATGGAAAAAACGAACATTATTTACAAAAATATATTCATCTCCAAGGTATTGCAGATGTTTATATGTATATTCTTTTTTATTAAAAATCCGTGATTGTCATTTGCCCAACTTTCTTAATTAAATGTAAATAATCTTTTTAATTTGATAGATATATGAGCGTTCATCAACGAATTGGTTAATTTGACATCGTAAATTTTGTGTATCATTATCAAATGCGATAAGACATTAAAAGGAAAGCATATACGATTTATTTTCCTCTAAAATAAATATACGAGTTGTATGTGAGGCGTATTACTTTTATGGACGATTAATAAATGATTAAAATCATATATTTCGAAAAATTCAATAAAGGATTATTATAATGATTACTCGATCATAAATATTTAAAAATTATATTTAATAATTTTTTATAAAAAACACTTTGTTTATCGATTTCCTGATTTCTTTCCAATCTTTTTATCTTTCTTTACGTTACGAAAGATAAAATAATAGGAAAATCTAAAAAGGACACCTTTCATCACATAATACCCCTAATTATTTCACGAGAACAATATAAAATAAATATAAAATAATAAAATAATGTAAGAAAGAAATGTCGAATAAAATTAATATATTGAATTAGTGCATTCTCAAATGTAAAAGTAAAAGATTACGTCAATGGTTTACCTTGCTGACACATGCTATATTAACGAATAGAAAGTGGAAGCGTCAGTAGTCTAAGAACTTTCGACAGTGCAACATCTCGAATTTTTTTCCTCATAATTTGTTTTTAGTCAACTATACGATGGATGTCTGGGCAATGATCTTGGCCTTCATAGCAGTGCTACTCAGCATTTATTACTATATCTTCAAGGATTTGAACTACTTCAAAAAAATTGGTTTACCATATATGGAACCATGGCCGTTATTTGGAAATATGGGACCAGCAATTTTCCGTCAGAAAACGATGATTGATTTAACTATAAATGCTTACAATCTGCATCCAAAAGCCAAATACGTTGGTTTCTTCGATATGAATAAACCGGTTTTACTTATTCGTGATCCTGAGTTAATCAAAATAATTGCAGTGAAGAGTTTCGATAATTTCATGGATCACAGAGGTTTCGTTGACGAGGTACATGATCCTTTCTTCGGAAAGAATTTATTTTCCCTAAGAGGCGACCGATGGAGAGAAACTAGAACAATGTTGAGTCCAGCGTTTACTTTAAGCAAACTAAAAGGAATGTTCAAATTAATGAACGAATGCGGTGTAGATTTTACAGATAGTCTATTAAAAATGACAAAGGATAAAAAAACTATCGAAATGAAGGACGTCTTCACGAGATATACCAATGACGTAATAGCCACATGTGCATTTGGCATCAGTATGAATTCGATGAAAAATCCGCAAAACGAATTCTATATTCTCGGAAGAGACGCAACAAACTTTGAGGGTATTAAATCTCTAAAATTCTTTCTTATTCGATCTTTTCCAAATATTGTAAAATTGTTCAACATCAAGTTCATATCCGGTAAGATCGATCATTGCTTCGAAAAAGTTGTCCAGGCGGTAATCAACGCTAGAGATCAAAATAATATTGTACGTGCGGATATGATACAACTGATGATGGAAGCTAGAAACAAAAAAGCTGAAATCGGAGAAGAATTAACTATGATGGACATAGTAGCTCAGGCGTTTATCTTTTACTTTGGTGGCTTCGACACTGTCTCCACTGCAATGTGCTTTACTTGTCATGAAATTGGTGTCAATCCTGACATACAAAAGAGACTTCAGCGCGAAATCGACGAGGTCATCGAAAAGACCAATGGAAACCCAACTTATGACGTTATCAACAGCATGCAATATTTAGACGCCGTGATAAGCGAGTCCCTACGGAGATATCCGATTGCCATCTTTCTTGACAGAGTGTGCAACGAGGATTTCGAACTGCCGCCAAGTTTACCTGGAAGTAAACCTTTACTCTTAAAAAAAGGCATGATTGTTTGGTTCCCAGTTTCTGCATTCCATCTGGACTCGAAATATTTCGAGGATCCGTACAAATTCGATCCCGAAAGATTCATGAAATATGGAAAAGAAATCAACAATTCCGGCATCTACTTACCTTTCGGTTTGGGACCTAGAATGTGCATTGGGAGTAGATTCGTCTTATTGGAGATGAAAGTTTTGATATTTAATTTATTGGCAAGATGTAATCTCAAGCCTTCTGCTAAAACCCAGAATCCTATTCAGTTATCCAAGAGAGAAGTCAATTTGGCCCCTGAAAAAGGTTTTTGGATGGATTTAGAGGAAAGAAAGGAAGTTCATCCGGCTGTTAAAAATTTCGTCCCTAATAGCATTACTAATGAAGGTAGTAAAAGTGATGCATCGACTAATGATGTTACTAATGATCATGCGATTAAAGCTTAAGATATGAAAATCATGATAATAATACTATTAAGATTAACTCGTATAATGTATACATATAAATGTTTATATATACTTGTCAACGAAATGTTAGGGATACTAAATTTGTATTAAATGTTTGTGCATTGTATTCCGCAGTATCAGGGATTAATGTCATTTATATTATATGCAATTACGCACATATCATCTTGTTATTGGATTTCAGAGAATAATGTTTCTCTTATCTTACAACGATATAAATAACTTATCTTTTCAATTGATATTATTATTACTATCATTATTATGAAAATAAACAAGAAAATGTTGCATTATTATGGAAAAAACGAACATTATTTACAAAAATATATTCATCTCCAAGGTATTGCAGATGTTTATATGTATATTCTTTTTTATTAAAAATCCGTGATTGTCATTTGCCCAACTTTCTTAATTAAATGTAAATAATCTTTTTAATTTGATAGATATATGAGCGTTCATCAACGAATTGGTTAATTTGACATCGTAAATTGTCTCTATCATTATCAAATGCGATAAGATATAAAAGCAAAGCATATACGATTTATTTTCCTCTAAAAGAAATATACGAGTAGTATGTAACTTGTATAACTTTTATGAACGATTAATAAATGATTAAAATCATATATTTCGCAGAATTCAATAAACGATTATTATAACGGTTACTCGATCATAAATATTTAAAAATTGTATTTAATAATTTTTTATAAATAGCACTTTGTTTATCGATTTCCTGATTTCCTTCCAATCATTTTATCATTCTTTACGTCACGAAAAATGAAATAATATAAAAATCTGAAATGAAAACATTTCTTTACTGAATATTCATAATTATTTTACGAGAATAATATAAAATAAATATAAAATAATAAAAAGATGTAAGAAAGAAATGCCGATGAGATGTAAGAAAGAAAATTAATATATACAACCAGTACATTCTCAAATGCAAAAGTAAAAGATTACGTAAATGACTTATCTTTGCTGCCACATGCTATATTAACGAGTAGAGAGTGCAAACTTCAGTAGTCTGCAAACTCTTGACAGTGCAACATCGCGTATTTTTACTCTTATAATCATTTTTTTCTAAATCACATGATGGAGGCCTGGGCAATGATCTTGGCCTTCATGGCAGTGCTCCTCAGCATCTATTACTACATCTTCAAGGACTTGTACTACTTCAAAAAAATTGGTTTACCATATTTGGAACCATGGCCGTTATTTGGGAACATGGGACAAGCAATTTTCCGTCAGAAAACGATGATTGATATAACTATAAATGCTTACAATTTGCATCCAAAAGCCAAATACGTTGGTTTCTTCGATATGAGTAATCCGGTTTTACTTATTCGTGATCCTGAGTTAATCAAAATGATCGCAGTGAAGAGTTTCGATAACTTCATGGATCACAGAGGATTCGTCGACGAAGTACAGGATCCTCTTTTCGGAAAGAATTTATTTTCTCTAAGAGGAGACCGATGGAGGGAAACTAGAACAATGTTGAGTCCAGCGTTTACTTTAAGCAAACTAAAAGGTATGTTCAAATTAATGAACGAATGCGGGGCAGATTTTACAGATTTTCTATCAAAAATGCCAAAGGATAAAAAAACTATAGAAATGAAGGACGTCTTCACGAGATATACCAATGACGTAATAGCTACATGTGCATTTGGCATCAGTATGAATTCGATGAAAAATCCGCAAAATGAATTCTATGTTCTCGGAAGAGACGCAACAAACTTTGATGGTATTAAATCTCTTAAATTCTTCCTTATTCGATCTTTTCCAAATATTGTAAAATTATTCAACATCAAGTTCATACCCGATAAGATCGGTCATTTCTTCGAGAATGTTGTCCAGGAGGTAATCAATACTAGAGATCAAAACAATATTGTACGAGCGGACATGATACAACTGATGATGGAAGCTAGAAACAAAAAAGCTGAAATCGGACAAGAATTAACTATGATAGAAATAGTAGCTCAGGCGTTTATCTTTTTCTTTGGTGGCTTCGACACTGTCTCCACGGCTATGTGCTTTACTTGTCACGAAATTGGTGTCAATCCTGACATACAAAAGAAACTTCAGCGAGAGATCGACGAGGTCATCGAAAAGACCAATGGAAATCCAACTTATGACGTTATCAACAGCATGCAATATTTAGACGCCGTGATAAGCGAGTCCCTACGGAGATATCCGATTGCCATCTTTCTTGACAGAGTGTGCAACGAAAATTTCGAACTGCCACCTAGTTTACCTGGAAACAAACCCTTTCTCTTAAAAAAAGGCATGAATGTTTGGTTCCCAGTTTGTGCATTCCATCTGGATTCGAAATATTTCGAGGATCCGTATAAATTCGATCCCGAAAGATTCATGAAACATGGAAAAGAGATCAACAATTCCGGCATCTACTTACCTTTCGGTTTGGGACCTAGAATGTGCATTGGTAATAGATTCGCTTTACTGGAGATGAAAGTTTTGATATTTAATTTATTGGCAAGGTGTAATCTTAAGCCTTCTGCTAAAACCCAAATTCCTATTCGATTATCCAAGAGAGGAATTAATTTGGCCGCTGAAAAAGGTTTTTGGATGGATTTAGAGGAAAGAAATGATGTTCATCCAGCTGTTAAAAATTTCATCCCTAACAGCACTACTGATAATGATATTAAAAGTGATGCATCGATTAATGGTGTTACTAATGGTCATGCGATTAAAGCTTAAGATATAAAAATAATGATAATAATAGTATTACGTGTAGCTCATCAAAAGTATACATGTAAATGTTTATATATATTTTTGTCGTCGAAATATTAGGGATACTGAATTTGGATTAAATGTTTGTGCATCGTAGTCCGCAGTATCAGGGATTAACGTCATTTAAATTATATGCAGCTATGCACATATCGTCTTGTTATTGGATTACATATCGTTCCAGATAATAATATTTCTGTTACCTTACTATGATATAAATAACGTATCATTACAATTGAAATTTTTATTATGATTATAATTATTATAAAAATGAAAATGTTGCATTATTATCGAAAAAAAACGAAAATTATTTACGAAAATATATTTATCTCCAAGATATTGCAGATGTTTATTTGTATGTTATTTTTGCTCATCTTTCTGGGTTACATATAAATAATCTTTTTAATTTTATAGATACATGAGCCTTCATTACCGAATCGGTTAATTTAACAATGAACTGTCTTTATCATTATCAAAATATAAAAGCAAAGCATATACAATTTATTTCTCACATTAAGAAATATACGAGTAGTATGTGACGTGTATAACTTTTATGAACGATTAATAAGTAATTAAAATCATATATTTCGCAGAATTTAATAAAGGATTATTATAACGGTTACTCTATCATAAATATTTAAAAATTGTATTGTATAATTTCGACAATTTTTATAAAAAGCACTTTGTTTATCGACGGACTGATTTTCTTCCAATCATTTTATTTTTCTTTAAGTCACGAAAGATGAGATAATAGAAAAATCTAAAAAGAGAACATTTCTTTATATAATATTCATTATTATTATACGATAATAACATAGAGATATAAAAAATTTAAGAAAAAAATGACGAATAAGATTCATATATAGAACTAGTTATACATTCTCAAGTGTGAAAATAAAAGATTATGTCAGTGACGTATCTTACTGATACATGTTATATTACCGAAGAGTGAGTGGAAACGACAGTAGTCTACAAACTCTCGCAGAGCAACATCGAGAATTCTTTCTTTCATAACCAGTTTTTTCTCTACCACATGATGGAAACCTGGGCAATGATCTTGGCCTTCATGGCAGTGGTACTCAGCATTTATTATTACATCTTCAAGGACTGGAACTACTTCAAAAAAATTGATTTACCATATATGGAACCATGGCCGTTATTTGGGAACATGGGACAAGCAATTTTCCGTCAGAAAACGATGATTGATTTAACTATAAATGCTTACAATCTGCATCCAAAAGCAAAATACGTTGGTTTTTTCGATATGAGTAATCCGGTTTTACTTATTCGTGATCCTGAGTTAATCAAACTGATCGCAGTGAAGAGTTTCGATAATTTCATGGATCACAGAGGTTTCGTTGACGAGGTACAGGATCCTCTCTTCGGAAAGAATTTATTTTCCTTAAGAGGCGACCGATGGAAAGAAACTAGAACTATGTTGAGTCCGGCATTTACTTTAAGCAAACTGAAAGTTATGTTCAAATTAATGAACGACTGCGGAGCAGATTTTACAGATTTTCTATCAAAAATGCCAAAGGATAAAAGAACTGTAGAAATGAAGGACATCTTCACGAGATATACCAATGACGTAATAGCCACATGTGCATTTGGCATCAGTATGAATTCGATGAAAAATCCGCAAAACGAATTCTATGTTCTCGGAAGAGACGCAACAAACTTTGACGGTATTAAATCTCTAAAATTCTTCCTTATTCGATCTTTCCCAAATATTGTAAAATTATTCAACATCAAGCTCATATCCGGTAAGATCGGTCATTTCTTCGAGAACGTTGTCCAGGAGGTAATCAACACTAGAGATCAAAACAATATTGTACGAGCGGACATGATACAACTGATGATGGAAGCTAGAAACAAAAAAGCTGAAATCGGAGAAGAATTAACTATGATGGAAATAGTAGCTCAGGCGTTCATCTTTTTTTTTGGTGGCTTCGACACAACCTCCACTGCTATGTGCTTTACTTGTCACGAAATTGGTGTCAATCCGGACATACAAAAGAGACTCCAGCGAGAGATCGACGAGGTCATCGAAAAGATCAATGGAAATCCAACTTATGACATTATCAACAGCATGCAATATCTAGACGCCGTGATAAGCGAGTCCCTACGGAGATATCCGATCGCTATTATTCTTGACAGAGTGTGCAACGAGAATTTCGAACTGCCAGCAAGTTTACCTGGAAACAAACCCTTTGTCTTAAAAAAAGGCATGAATGTTTGGATCCCAGTTTGTGCATTCCATCTGGACTCGAAATATTTCGAGGATCCGTACAAATATGATCCCGAAAGGTTCATGAAACGAGGAAAAGAGATCACCAATTCTGGCGTTTATTTACCCTTCGGTTTAGGACCTAGAATGTGCATTGGTAATAGATTCGCTTTATTGGAGATGAAAGTTTTGATATTTAATTTATTGGCAAGATGTAATCTCAAGCCTTCCGCTAAAACCCAAAATCCTATTCGATTATCCAAGAGAGGAGTCAATTCGGCCCCCGAAAAAGGTTTTTGGATGGATTTAGAGAAAAGAAAGGATGTTCATCCTACTGTTAAAAGTTTCGTCCCAAATAGCATTACTGATGAAGATATTAGAAGAGATGCATCGATTAATGGTGTTACTAATGGTCATACGGTTAAAGCTTAACATATGAAAATCATGATAATAATAGTATTAAGATTTACTCGCCTAAAGTATACATTTAAATGTTTATATATATTATATTTGTCAATGATAATGTTAGGGATACTGAATTCGGATTAAATGTTTGTGCATCGTATTTCGCAATATCAGGGATTAATGTTATTTAAATTATATGCAGCTATGCACATATCGTCTTTTTATTGGATTACGTATCGTTTCGGAAAATAACTTTTCTGTTATCTTACTTTGAAATAAATAATGTATCATTACAATTGATATTATTATTATTATTATTATTGTAATTATTATAAAAATGAAAATGGAACCGTTGCATTATTATCGAAAAAGACGAAAATTATTTACGAACATATATTTATCTCCAAGATATTGTAGATGTTTATTTATATATCCTTTTGCTCAACTTTCTAGATTACGTATAAATAATCTTTTTATCTTGATTGATACATGAGTGTTCATTAACGAATTAATTAATTTAACAACTTTACTAAAAGTGTTTCTATCATTATCAAACGCGATAAGATATAAAAGCAAAGCATTTACGATTTATTTTTCACATAAAGAAATATATGAGTAGTATGTGAGTGGTATTATTTTTATGGACGATTAATAAATGATTAAAATCATTATATTTCGAAAAATTCAATAAAGGGTTATTATAACGATTACTCGATCATAAATATTTAAAAATTGTATTTAATAATTTTTTATAAAAAGCACTTTGTTTATCGATTTCCTGATTTCCTTCCAATCATTTTATCTTTCTTTACGTCACGAAAGATGAGATAACAGAAAAATCCAAAAAGAAAACATTTCTTTATATAATATTCATAATTATTTTACGAAAATAATATAAGAATATAAAAAATTTGAGAAAGAAATGTCGAATAAGATTCATGTATAGAATTAGTTGTGGATTCTCAAGTTTAAAAAATAAATATTACGTTAGTGACTTATCTTGCTGATACATGCTATATTAATGAGAAGGGAGTGGAAGCATTTGTATCTGTAATCTAAAAATTCTTAGCAAAACATCACAATTTTTTTCTTTTATAATCTGTTTTTTTCTCAACCACACGATGGAGTCCTGGGCAATGATCTTAGCCTTCATGGCAGTGATACTCAGCATTTATTACTACATCCTTAAGGACTTGAAATACTTCAAAAAAATTGATTTACTATATTTAAAACTATGGTCGTTATTTGGAAACGTGGGACAAGTAATTTTTCTGTCAGAAAACGATGATTGATATAACTATAAATGCTTACAATCTGTATCCAAAAGGCAAATACGGTTTCTTCGATATGAGTAATCCGATTTTACTTATTCGTGATCCTGAATTGATCGATATGATCGCAGTGAAGGGTTTTGATAATTTCATGGATCACAGAGGATTCGTCGACGAAGTACAGGATCCTCTTTTCGGAAAGAATTTATTTTCTCTAAGAGGCGACCGATGGAGAGAAACTAGAACAATGTTGAGTCCAGCGTATACTTTAAGCAAACTAAAAGGTATGTTCAAATTAATGAACGAATGCGGGGCAGATTTTGCAGATTTTTTATTAAAAATGCCAAAGGATAAAAAAACTATAGAAATGAAGGACGTCTTCACGCGATATACCAATGACATAATAGCCACATGTGCATTTGGCATCAGTATGAATTCGATGAAAAATCCGCAAAACGAATTCTATGTTCTCGGAAGAGACGCAACAAACTTTGACGGTATTAAATCTCTAAAATTCTTCCTTATTCGATCTTTCCCAAATATTGTAAAATTATTCAACATCAAGTTCATATCCGGTAAGATCGGTCATTTCTTCGAGAACGTTGTCCAGGAGGTAATCAACACTAGAGATCAAAACAATATTGTACGAGCGGACATGATACAACTGATGATGGAAGCTAGAAACAAAAAAGCTGAAATCGGACAAGAATTAACTATGATAGAAATAGTAGCTCAGGCGTTCATCTTTTTCCTTGGTGGCTTCGACACCGTTTCCACGGCTATGTGTTTTACTTGTCACGAAATTGGTGTCAATCCTGACATACAAAAGAGACTTCAGCGCGAGATCGACGAGGTCATTGAAAAGACTAATGGAAATCCAACTTATGACGTTGTCAACAGCATGCAATATCTAGACGCTGTGATAAGCGAGTCCCTACGAAGATATCCGATTGCCATTATTCTTGACAGAGTTTGCAACGACAATTTCGAACTGCCACCAAGTTTACCTGGAAACAAACCCTTTGTCTTAAAAAAAGGCATGAATGTTTGGATACCAGTTTGTGCATTCCATCTTGACTCGACATATTTCGAGGATCCGTACAAATTCGATCCCAAAAGATTCATGAAACGGGGAAAAGAGATCAACAATTCCGGCATCTACTTACCTTTCGGTTTGGGACCTAGAATGTGCATTGGTAATAGATTCGCTTTACTGGAGATGAAGGTTTTGATATTTAATTTATTGGCAAGATGTAATCTCAAGCCTTCTGCTAAAACCCAAAATCTAATTCGTTTTTCCAAGAGAGGAATCAATTTGACCGCCGAAAAATATTTTTGGATGGATTTAGAGGAAAGAAAAGATGTTCATCCAGCTTTTAAAAATTTCATCCCTAATAGCACTACTGATGATGATATTAAAAGTGATACATCGATTAATGGTGTTGCTAATGATCATGCAATTAAAGCTTAAGACCTAAATAATAAATGATAAATATAATTATATAATGAAATTTCATTTAATATATGCATACATATATATATATATATATATATATATATATATATATATATATATATATATATATTTATATATGCACTGTGTATATATACGTTAATAAAATGTTAGGTGCGTCGTATCTTAATTACTAGTTTGCCCATCGTAATCTACTTAATTACACATTATCATGTTTTGAATTACGCTTTAAGCAGATCATGTAATTGTATTGCATATTGTTTTAGAGAATATAACTAGTGTATCGCTTAGCTAACTAAAATGTAAATAATATATATATATATATTATTATTATTACTACTATTATTATTATTATTATTATTATTATTATTATTATTATTATTATTATTATGAAAAGCTAAATCAAAATAATGGAGGTCCATCAGTATTTACAATTATATATTTATTTATATATAACGATAAATATGTTTTTAGATATATATTTATGTTTTTAAAAAGGCTCTTTTATATTGATCGACTAAATATAGACTTTTTCCAAGGACTCATTTAAATAATCTTTTTGGTTTAATATATACGCGTCCATCCTTTAATGAATTATTACTCCTAAATCGAAAATGGGATGGAATAAGATGCGAAAAAAGAGATTATTTTTTCATATTCGGTAAAATAAATTATACGGCTCGTAAAGTAAATTTCTTTTTTATGTGATTAATTCAAATAAATCATGTACATCATGTATACATAACATATTATATGTATATATATACATATAAATATAAATATATATATATATATATATATATATAATTGCTAAGGCATTTATTCTCTAAAATCTTATAATATTTGACAAATATTTATAGAAAAGATTTTATTATATTCACTTCATTATATAAAAAAAAAATGATCTAATAGAATTATTAAATAACAAAAATCTATTGATAAAATATTACTATTCTTACGATAATAATAAGGATATACTTTCCAGAAGATCTGAAAGAAAATTAAAACGTTTAATAAGCGATAAATATCCGGTTTTAAAGTGATGATTACGTCAGCGGCATAAATTGATACGTGCTGTGTTAAGAAGAATTCACAAGAAGAAACTAGTAGGCCACTGTCTCTAGCCAATATAACTGCGCAGATTCTCCTACTCTCTCTCTCTCTCTCTCTCTCTCTCTCTCTCTCTCTCTCTCTCTCTCTCTCCCTCTCTCTCTCTCTCTCTCTCTCTCTCTCTCTCTCTCTCTCTCTCTCTCTCTTTCGCTCTCTATCTCTTTATCTCTCGATCTCTCTACCTAACATTATCTCATTCTCTTTCTTTTAGCCAACTCACGATGGAGTTGGACTATGATCTTAGCTATTATGACCTTGATACTAAGCATCTATTATTACGTCGTCAACGATTTGAACTACTTCAAGAAAATTGATGTATCCTGTTTTAAATCATGGCAGATATTTGGCAATATGAGTTTAACATAGTTACGTAAGAAAACGATAGCTAATATAATAATCGAAGCTTACAATATAGATTAGAAAAAGGAATACAATGTTTTCTTCGATTCGTCTAAACCTGTTTCGATGATTCATAACGCATAATTGATAAAAACGATCGCAAGTAAGAATTTAAATGATTTTTTTTGATACATCGAACTTTGGTCGACGAGTTATGGGATTCTTTTTTTATGGGAACAAGGACAGATTTTTATGGGAGCAGGGGTAGGGTACAGTGGGGGAATTTATTTTTCTTAATGATCAACCGATAACTAAAAAATAGAAAATAGAACGAGTTCTATATTTACTTTGAATACTCTAATGGATATGTTTAAAGTGACAAATGAACGTGCCAGCAAATTTTACGGATTATCTATTTAAAATGACAAAGGAAAGTAAAACGACAATAATAAAGGACGTATTAATGAAATATATCAATGACGTAATAGTCATTGTGCGCCTTTGGTATCAATATTAAATTCAATGGGAGCATCGAGAGAATGAATTTCACGTTCTCGGGGGGGGGGGAAGGGCAATTACGTATGATGATGGATATTATATCTACTTATAATTACTTTGCCTTCGAAGTTTTTCAATGATAATCAGATTCTTCAATGCTCATAATCGATGAGATTGTTAATTTTTTCAAGAATATTATCAAGAAGGAGAATAAAAATCGAAAGAAAATTGTATGATCGGTAGTCAATCAATTCATGATAGAAATTAGGATCAAGAGAATCCTGAAAACCTTGAGAATTGGACAGGGACTAATCCTGATGGACAAAATAGTTTAAATCTTTTAAATTCTTTTTTGATAATCGTTTTCACGGTTATATGCTTTACTTGTCAAAGAAATTGATATCAGTCTGAACATACAAAAGAGATTACGGCATGAGATCTACTTGGTCCTTGAAAAAATTTCATGGAAATCCAATCTATGACGTAATTACAATTGCGTTGCAACAGCATGCAATAATTAAACGCCGTTATAAATGAATCCCTACGATGGGATCGATTTCTCGTATTTATTAACAGAATTCGCGTCAATAGTTACGAGCTAACATCAAATTTACCAAAGCACGAAATTATTTCTAATAAAGAAAGACGTGAACGTTTCCTTTCCAGTTCATGGATAATATTATGATCCTAAATATTTCGTTGATCCATACAAATTCGATCCCAAAAGGTTCGTGAACTACGTTAAGGAGATTAACAATTTCGATGCGTATCTATCCTTCGAATTGGGACTTAGAATGTGCAATGGTGATGGATTCACTTTACTTCAAATGAAAATCTTGATATTTTATTTGTTGCCAAGGTGCAATCTCGTGCCTTCCACCAAAATTCAGAATCCAATGCGATTATCCATGAATGGAATTCATCATGGCTGGTGAAAATGATTTTTGGATGGATTTAAAGGAAGGAAACGATGTTCAGCCTGATCTCAAGAATTTTTTTTAACTGATAACAATATTGATGATAATATTAAAATTGTCAGATTGTGATGATGCATAATGATCACGTCGCTAATGATACGGTTAAAAATTTAGATGTAAAGAATAAATAATGAAAACGGTTGGATTATAATAAACTCATTTAATATATACCTGTGTGCATATATATATGTATATATATATATGTGTGTGTGTGTGTGTGTTCGTAAGTGAAATGTTAGGCGCATCGAATCGGGATTATGCGTTCGCGCAACGTATTCTACACAATTGCGGATTATCGTGTTTCGAATTACACACAACTACACGGAAATACGTATTGTAATTGAATTGCATATCAGTTTAGAGAGTAATTTAAGTGTATCCATTATTTTATTACGACATATTAAATAATATGTTGTTGTCCTTATTATTATTAATATTATGGTAAAGAAGAGAAAAAAAATATTTTGCCTTCTTGGAAAATAACGATCGTTATTTACGAAAACATACTTATATGTGAATATCTATATATCGTTTTATATTAAAAACGCTTTTATCTGTTGATTAACTTGAAGTTTTTATGAATCACATCTTTCTATACAATCTCTTTTATTTGATATATATGTAAATAAATATCCGTCAACAAAAAGATTGTTTCCAGTTCGAAAATATCTCTTCTATTATCAGATAAGGTACAAGAGTAATGTAAACGCTATTTGCTTTCTTCATTCAACAAAAAAAAAAAAAAAACATACCGTGATTGCGAATTGAATTCTTTATTCGTTTGATTAATTTAAATAGATGGTGTACGTCATGCATACATATACGATCTATATACAATACACACACACACGCATACACACACACACATACATACGCACACACATACATATGTATATATACGTATACGTTCTATTTTTTTTTATAAAGAGTAGGGGTTATTAAGTAACAGAATTTTCGGAAATCTAAGTCCGACAGTTTGCCGAAATTTCGTAATCATATCGATTTAATCATGTCAAGACTGACTCGTTGAAATATTAACGTCACAAGCAATCCTAACGAAAACACGTAAACGCGAATTGTAGCCCATGAAAACCGTAATTCAATTTACGTGGTTAACGCCTCATGAAAACATGGCATGGCTAAGAGATTATTCAATACTAAAAAATAAAATGAATAATGTCACAATTGATATTATGTACTGTATTAAAGAATTCAGTCATTGACATTACAAATAAATTTTCACGATATCACGAGAGTTGTAGTTTATTAAGGCGTAATTTACAGTTTATATTTCATGAGAACGCTGGCATACTTGCAGACGCACGATACTGTAAAAAGGAATGACGTCACTAACACAGACCGATAATATGTTCAATATTAACGAGAATTCCTAACAAGAAATGTCAGTCGAACACGAAACGCCGTCGCTATAATTTCGTCGGTTGTTATTCTTTCTCTCTCTCTCTCTCTCTTTCTTTCTCTTTCTCTCTTTCTCTCAAATTTTTTTTACACATAAACACAATGTTGACGTGGGCGATGATCTTGGCCGTCGTGACAGTGGCACTTAGCATTTATTACTATACCTTTAAGAACGTGAATTACTTTAAGAAAATTGGTTTACCGTATTTACAACCATGGCCAATATTGGGCAGCATGGGTTCAGCATTTTTACGAAGAAAAACGGCGGCCGATGTAACTATCGAAGCTTACAATTTTTATCCGGAAGCCAAATATATCGGTTTCTTCGATTTCAACAATCCAGTAGTGATCATACGTGATCCCGAATTGATAAAAATGATTGCTATAAAGAATTTCGATTATTTCACAGATCATCGATCCTTCGTAGACAGCGAACATGATCCGCTCTTTGCGAAGGCATTATTTTCCTTACGAGGTAACGAATGGAGAGAAACTAGAACTATGCTAAGTCCTGCATTTACGTTAAGCAAGCTTAAAGGCATGCTTAAATTGATGAACGAATGCGGAGCGGATTTTACGGATTACATATATAAAATGCCAAAAGATAAGAGAACTATAGAAATGAAGGACGTATTCACGAGATATACCAATGATGTAATAGCCACGTGCGCCTTTGGCATCAGTATTAATTCTATGAAAGATCGCGACAATGATTTTTACGTTCTTGGTGGAAAGGCAACCAAATTCGACAGTATTAAAACACTTAAATTCATAATGATGCGAAGTTTTCCAACGATTTCGAAATTATTCAAAATTAGGCTAATACCCGATAAGATTAACAATTTTTTCAAAAACGTCGTCAAGGAGGTAATTAATACTAGAGATAAAAATAATATTGTAAGAGCGGACATGATACAATTAATGATGGAAGCTAGAAATAAGAAAGCTGAAATGGGACAAGAATTAATTCTGATGGATATAGTATCTCAGGCGTTCAGCTTCTTCTTCGGTGGCTTCGACACCACCTCCACGGCCATGTGTTTCACATGTCACGAAATTGGCGTCAATTTGAATATACAAAAGAGATTACAGAGAGAGATCGATGAAGTTATTGAAAGGACTAATGGTGATTTAACATATGACGTAATTAATAGCATGCAATATCTAGACGCCGTGATAAACGAATCCCTAAGGAGATATCCGATTGCTGTAATCATTGACAGATTGAGCGTCGATAATTTCGAACTGCCACCAAGTTTACCTGGAAGTAAACCCTTACTACTGAAAAAAGACATGAATGTATGGTTCCCAGTTTATGGACTTCATCATGATCCGAAATATTTCGAAGATCCGTACAAATTCGATCCCGAAAGATTCATGGAACGCGGAAAAGAGATTATCAATTCTGGTGTTTACTTGCCCTTCGGATTGGGTCCTAGAATATGCATTGGTAATAGATTCGCTTTATTGGAAATGAAAGTCTTGATATTTCATTTGTTGGCAAGGTGTAATCTGGTGCCCTGCTCGAAAACTCAGAATCCATTACGTTTATCCAAAAAAGGAATCAGCATGTCGGCAGAAAATGGATTTTGGATGAATTTTGAAAATAGAAACGACGTTCATCCTGCCCTTAAGAATTTTCTATCTAATAACGTTACTGATAGTACTGATGATAGTACTGAAACCAAAGCGTTTACCAATGGCATTGCTATTAGTCATACGGTCAAAGCTTAAGAGATAAACGAGGAATTAGAAAAAAATAGTTTTATCTGAATCGAATGAATCCGTATGGATGTATAATATGCTAATAAAATTTTATGTAACTAACTCTGTCCTGTTAATTACGACTTTACCAGGCAATAAATACTTTCTACTAAAAAAAAGACATAAAAATTTGGTTTCCAATTTATGGTCTCTATCACGATCCGAAATATTTCGATAATCCATATAAATTCACTTCCAGAACATGGGAAAACTATTAACAATTCCGATATCTATTTACTTATCGGATTGGAACCTAGAATATGCATTAGTAATAAATTCATTTTACTCTAGATGAAAGTTTTTATATTTCATTTGTTGGCAAGAATCTAAAGCCATGCTACAAAAATCAGAATTCTATACGATTATCCAAGATAGGAATATACATAATAATATGACTGGCGAAAATGTTTTTTGAATGGATTTAATCGAAAGAAACGATGTTAATAAAACTTTTGAGAATTTTTTATTTAAGTTTATTTAACTCCGCTAATAATAATACTGAAACTAACGCATCGACTAATGGGATTGATAATTGTCAATACGATTAAAAATATAAAATCTAAACGAAGTATAAAAATATATTATTTTATCACAATGAACTCATCTAATATGTATATGCGAGTGAAACGTAACACGTGCTAAATTTCCTGTTTACTCGTTGTACTCTATTATGCGCGATCGTGTTTTGAATCACATGCGTTTACACGTCAATCCCGTTGAAATCAAATTGCATAATTTTTTTTATTAAATAATACAAATGAATTTAATAACTACTAGGATATGTAAATTATATATAAGTATATGTAAATATAATTCTTTTTTATTATCGTTATGAAAATGGAGAAAAAAAATGTTTTGTCATTTTCGAATAAGATGATCATTATTTCTTGAAAATATACTATATTCTTGAAAAAAAAATACATATATATATATATAAATATATTCATATATATACAAATAATCTCTATGATTTCATAGAAATACGTATATCAATCGATGAAAAGATTATTTCTATTTCAAAAATATCTCTTTTATTATCGGAAACGATAAAATATAAAAGTAAAGTAAATGCAATTCTAGACGGATAAGTAATAATCAATAGATAACACCGATAGAAATTTATCAAAACATATGTCTTATGTCTATCGTCATATTTCTTATCTTTCGATATTATAATTTTTAATTTATTATTTATCAATGGTGACTCTTCCTTTTTTTTTTTTTGTTACAATTCTTTCTTTTATAATAGGAATTGATAATTATAAAGAGAAAACAAAAAATATATATGTGAACGTTAAAGTAAAATAAGCATTATATAAAAAAAAAAATAAAGAAAAAAGCGTAGACGTTATATTGGATAAAATAAATATAGAGAAGAGCGAGATATAAAAATTCATGTAATTTCAATGATAATGATCAACGATATCCATCATGATTGTATCGTGTTAAAATTCTAAGAATCGTCTTTCGATTGCATGATTATATGAAAGCAATTTGTTTTTTCTTTTATTCATTCGATAAAGTAAATTGTATGAATCATTGCGAACTGAATTTCAGTTCGTTTAATTAATTTCAATAAATTAATTTCAATTTACATCATATAAATATGTTCTATCGTCAATCATAAAAATTTACATAGACAAGAAAATTAAAAATCTTATTGACTTAGAATATTGTAGAAATGAGATAATTCATTATCAGATGATCAGAATAAAAGAACAGATTAAAAGTTTTTTTTCGTAAATATTTCTTCTCTCTCCATAAAAGTACAAAAAAAAAGAAGTATTATCAAAATTATTTTTTTCTTTTTCTTTTTTTTTTGGGGGGGGTGGGAGGGGGAAAGATATCAGAAAAAAATTCATATCATATGATAATTTGTAAATTGTCAAACATACAAATGGAAGATTACGTCAGAGGTATAGAATGATATTACTGGGTATATTAAAGAGTGTTCACGAGAAGGAACGTCAGTCTGTTACTATCTCTCACAAGTGAAACGTGTCCGATACTTCCCCACTGATTTATTTTTTAACGACGAGTATTCTATTTTAATCGAACTCAAGATGGAGGCCTGGGCGATGATCTTAGCCTTTGTGATAGTAATATTAAGCATTTATTATTATGTCTTCAAGGACTTGAGCTATTTCAAAAAAATTGGTTTACCATATATAGAACCATGGCCATTATTGGGAAACATGGGTTTAGCATTTTTACGTAAAAAAACGATGGCCGATTTAACGATAGATATGTACAACATAAATCGGGAAGCAAAATACGTTGGTTTCTTCGATATGGGCAATCCAATAATTGTAATACGTGACCCGGAATTGATCAAAATGATTGCAGTAAAGAATTTTGATAATTTCCCGGATCATCGATCTTTCGTCGATGAGGTATCGGATCCACTTTTTGGAAAGAATTTATTTTCCTTGAAAGGTAACCGATGGAGGGAGACCAGAACGATGTTGAGTCCAGCTTTTACATTGAGCAAGCTTAAAGGTATGTTCAAACTGATGAACGAATGCGGAGCAGATTTTACGGATTATTTATCCAAGATGCCAAAGGAAGAGAAAAGGATAGAAATGAAAGATGTATTTACGAGATATACTAATGATGTAATAGCCACGTGCGCCTTTGGCATTAGTATTAATTCTATGAAAGATCGAAACAACGACTTTTATGTTCTCGGTAGAAAGGCAACCAACTTCGATGGTATTAAAACATTGAAATTCTTTCTGATACGTAGTTTTCCAACGATCACGAAATTATTCAACATCAAGCTCATACCCGATACTGTAGCTAATTTCTTCAAGGATGTTGTCGAGGAGGTTATCAACACTCGAGATCGTAATAAGATCGTAAGATCGGACGTGATACAATTGATGATGGAAGCTAGAAACAAGAAAGTCGAAATGGGACAAGATCTACCACTTATGGATATAGTAGCTCAGGCGTTCATATTCTTTTTTGGTGGCTTTGATAGCGTCTCCACGGCCATGTGTTTCACCTGTCATGAAATTTGTGTCAATCCTGATATACAGAAAAGGATACAGGCAGAGATTGACGAGGCCATTGAAAAGACTGATGGAAATCTAACTTATGAGGTTATCAACAACATGCAATATTTAGATGCCGTGATAAGCGAATCCTTACGAAGATATCCGATTGTTGTTTTCCTCGACAGAATTTGCACCGAGAGTTACGAGTTACCACCAAGTTTACCAAATAGCAAACCATTTCTCTTGAAAAAAGGTACGAATGTATGGTTCCCAATTTATGGACTCCATCACGATTCACAATATTTCGAGGATCCATATAAATTCGATCCCGAAAGATTCATGGAACATGGAAAGGAGATTAACAATTCCAATGTCTATTTACCCTTCGGATTGGGACCTAGAATGTGCATTGGTAATAGATTCGCTCTACTCGAGATGAAAGTTTTGATATTCCATTTGTTGGCAAGATGTAATCTAAAGCCTTTCTCGAAAACCCAAAATCCATTGCAATTATCAAGGAAAGGAATCAGCATGACCGCTGAAAATGGCTTTTGGATAGAATTGGAGAGAAGAAATGATATTCATCCTCTTCTTGAAAATTCTTTATCTAATAGTACTCCTGATGATAATACTACTACGAATAAAACTGAGATACACACTAACAGCGTTGCTAATGCTCATACGATTAAAACTTAAGGTGTGAATAAATAATAACTAAAATAATTGTATCATTATATATTCATCTAAATTTTAATGTATCCATGTATATATATATATGTGTGTGTGTATGTGTGTGTGTTTACATATTTAAATGAGTTACATTTATATACGACCGATTGAATATGTTTAAAAGTGAATATAAAATTCAACTTTTATTGATTAGATTATTACTATTGATTAGACTTAAACGTATAATGTTCAGTTTTAATTATTATATATTCAAAAGCTTTCAAATACATACATACTTTACTTTCTTTTAAATGAACCTTATTTTTAACTGTATGAATTATATTAACGAATTAAATAGAAATATTTTAAATGTTTTCTTTCACTCTAATTATTTTCTTTTACTTCTTCGATCTATCGTTATCACTATCGAAGAAATAATTTGATAAATCGTTCTTTAAACTTTTTATCCAATGATCTAATTCCTCGTTTAAACGATAATTGACACTAAATGCGTCGTACGATAAGTCACGGTCGTTTCAATTGTCTTTCCTTTCGCGAAAAAAAAACAAAAGTTTCTAAGATAAATAACAAATTCATTTATCAGGATCGATTAATTGCATCGTAAATATCTTTTCTTTTTTATGTGAAAAAAAAAAGGGATAAAATAAAATCTGACTCGTTATAATTCGATACGATATTCCGATATTATAAACACTTGAAAATGATTTTTAAAAAATATCAACTGGATGAATACACAGTATGATTAACGATGGATACACGTAAACATTGCAAGAGGAAAATATTGTTCATTGAATATTACAATTGTCTCTCTTTTATCATCTATATATTCATATTATGTGTCTGGTTTACGAATGGATCGTCAAAAAAAAAAAAAAAAAAAAGAAAATAAATGAAAGAAAAATAAAAATGAAAAAAAAAACATAGAGAGAAAAAAGAAACCATAAAAAGACCGAGCACAGAATTACACGGAGAATTGAGATAAACGAGAGACCCTTCGAACCTCGACGAATATTTTACAAACTTATATATATATACAGAATATAGCAAATAGTACAAGCGTTTCATTGAACTACATCGTGTTTACTATGTAACAAGGATCGAAGTGAATGTATTTTGTACAAGATTATATCGTTTATTCCGAGCTTAATCCATGCTCACATCGGTGATATATATATATATATATATATATATATATATATATATATATATATATTTACGTTGAACAGACATAAGCGGAATTTCATTATTATTAATAGTAATAAAACGTGACATGGCATATTCGATAATAATACGTTGCGTTATGGCTGAGTGACTCGTATTTCGGTATTTTCCGTGAGAATGAATGAAGAGAAGATGGAAGGGAGTACGCTCAAGTGTTGAGTTCGTAATCTATGAGG